CAGTCACAGCTCACTGCAGCCGTGACCTCTCAGGCTCAGGTGATCCTCGCACCTCAGCCTGCTGAGTAGCTGGGATTACAGGCATGTGTCACCATACCTGGCTACTTTTTATGTATTTTGTAGAGATAGGATCTTGCTGTGTTGCCCAGGCTGGTCTCAAAACCCTGGGGATCCGCCCACCTCAGCCTCCCAAAGTGCTGGTGTGAGCCACTGTGCTCTGCCAAATCATTCCTTTTTAAACACAAGAGCTGCAGCTCTCCACAAATGGTAGATCTGTGAGCTTATGTGGGGCTTGCCAGACAGGGAGCCTTAGGCACAGAGCACGAGCAGGCGGTGTTCAGCTTGGCCGGTCCGCTGTGAGTTCTAGTGGATGTGTAACCAGTGTGACCCACAAGCTGTGGCTCCAGCTGCAATCACGTCTGTATTATTTTTCTAGTCACACTGGGGTGTAGTCCTACCTGTGTTTATTGTAAGGTGAATTCAGCCATGCATACTGGGCCAGAAAGAGGAGGGAGAGAGTAGGCTTCTTCCCTCCTGACTGCGCCTCTCAGTGCCTCCATCCTGCCACGGGCCAGGCGTGTGCTGCTTTGTCTGGGACTGGTGGGATCCTGACATCAAGACAGGCCTCCCCAGGGAGAGCAGCACGTTCTTGGACCTCACAGCACTGGGGGCAGCAGTGACCCAAAGGGATGCCCCTCCTGATGAAAGAGTTTTCTTCTCCTAGCACGGTCTCACCTGTGTCCCCTTGAAGAAATGATGATCACAGGGAATATGGACCAAAAGTGACTTTTCCTGTATTCAACAAGTTTATTTCATTTAAAAAATTTTTTTAAATAAAGTAATATATGCATATAAGTTGAAAGTTTAACACTGTCAAAGGTTAGTTAACACAGCCTTCCCATGCCCCGCCATGTGGTCTGCTTCTCAGAAGAACTACTTTCAACTCTTATTTAGCTTGTTCTTTTAATGTTTGCCTCCAAATTTTAAAATAAATACACATACCTTCTGCTCTTGATTTAACAGTGCTAGGCATTATTTAATCTCTCTTCCTATATCTTCTCAGTATATCTGTTTATATCAGCACCCATTACAAGAAAGTAAAATATGTATAAAATAATTGGTTAAATCCACACTCAGTGTTGTCATTATTATGTCTATTTCCATTTTGCTGACATTGAGCTGTGAAGAACACTAAAATTGCACTTTTATTGGACAACTTTTTGATGTTCCTGGAGTTCAAAATGGCCTCCTGATTTCATTACCTTAGTTTATTTCAGACGTTTGATGGAGTTCGCAAGGTCTCCGCCAACTCTGCAGAAGCCTTCAGCAACACTTTTCAGAGTTAAATGCCAGATTACATTTGTCAGTCCCAGTTTCCCTTCTGGTGAGGTCCCCCCTGAATTCCCCACTCTTCCAAGCCAGTCAGAGCTGTGTTCTTTTTGGGAAGACCCAAAAAGGAGTTTTCAGCACATTCCAGTATCAGAAAGACTGCTTCTTGAGAAAGGCTGTCTCTTCTCACAATTTTTTTTATCCGGTGGGCACTGTGATGTTATGACTGACAGTGTTCCCCATTCTGCCTTGGCCCTCAGGAGCCTTGGAGCTGAGTGTGGGGCCATCTCCTTCCCCCACCAGCCCTACTGCCCCAAACTACTAAAACCATGCCATCGTGTGCATTTATTTTGTTCCAATTTTATCATATTCATCCTATTTCTCTTCTTGTGTTGCTTTTGGTTAGCTAAAATCTTTTAAGAATGCATTTTACAAATTAACACAGAAGAATACATGCTGGGCCTCACATTTACAGCCAGTTGATTTTTGACAAAGGGACTAAGAACATCCATTGGGTAAAGGACATTGTCTCTTCAATAAATGATGCTGGGAAAACTGTATATCCATATGCAGAAGAATGAAAGTAGACTTCTGTCACTCGCCATGTACAAAAATAAACTCAATCAAACAATGTAAGACCTAACACTATGGAAGTGTTATATTCAAAGAAAACTTTGGAGAAATCTTTCAGGACATTGTTTTGGGCTCTGATTTGAGTAAGGCCTTAAAAGCACAGGCAACATAAACAAAAATTGACGAATGTGATTACATCAAGCTAAAAAGTTTCTGCATAGCAAAGGAAACAACCAAGTGAAGAGACAATCCACAGAATGGGAGGAAGTATTTGCAGGCTATTCATCTGACACAGGATTAATAACCAGAAAATATAAGGAGCTCAAACAACTTGATAGCAAAAAACCAAATCATCTGACTTAAAAATGGGCAAATTATTTGAATAGACTTTTCTCAAAAAAAAAAAAAAAAAGTATAAATGGCCAGCATGTATATGAAAAAGTACTCAACATCACTAATCATTAAAGAAATGCAAATCAAAACCGGGAGATACCACCTCATCTCAGTTGAAATGGCTATTAGCAAAAAGACTGAAAATAAATGTTGGTGAGGATACGGATAAAGAGCACCCTCAAACACTGGTGGTGGAAATGTAAGTTAGTACTATGGAGACCAGTATGGAGGCTCTTCAAAGAAATTAAGAATAGGGAACCACCTTAGATTCCAGCAGTCACATTGCCAGGTATTTTAAATGGGCAAAGGATTTGGATGCCCATTTCTCCAAGGAAGGACATAAGTATGTCGAAGAGATGTACATGGGAGTACAAGATATGGTACTTCCATGTTGTTACAGCACTGCTTATAATAGCCAAGATATGGAGTCCACCTGAGTACCTATCAGTGGACAGATGGGTAAGGAAAATGTGGTTTTATACACACAGTGGAATATTATTCAGCCATCATAAAGAATGAAATCCTAATAGTTGCAGTAATGTAGATGGACATAGAGAACATTAAGTGAAATCAGCCAGGCACAGAAAAACAAATATTGCCTGTTCCTTTTTTTCGTTTGAGATGGAGTCTTCCTCTGTCACCCAGGCTCGAGTGCAATGGCACAATCTTGGCTCACTGCAACCTCTGCCTCCTAGATTTAAGTGATTCTCCTGCCTTAGCCTCCCAAGTAGCTGGGATTACAGGCATGCAGCACCATGACCAGCTAATTTTGTATTTTTAGTAGAGATGAGGTTTTACCATGTTGTCCAGGCTGGTCTTGAACTCCTGACCTCAAGTGATCCACCTGCCTCCGCCTTCCAAAGTGCTGGGATTATAGGCATGAGCCACCGTGTGGGCCTGCGTATTCTATATCATATGTAGGAGCTAAAATATTTGATGTCATGTAGGTAATGAAGAGTTATTACCAGAGGTTGACAAGGATAGCTGGGGAGAGGGGAGTGGAGAAGGGTTAGTTGATGGGCATGAAAATACACTTAGAAGGAATAAGATGTGCTGTTCAGTAGCACAGTAGAGCAACTATAGTTAACAATAATTGGTTATATACTTCAGAATAGCTGGAAGAGAAGATTTGAAATGTTCCCAACATAAGAAGTGATAAATATTTGAGCTGGTAGATATTTCTGTTACTCTGATTGGATCATTACACGTTATATGCTTGTATCAAAATACCATGCGTATCCCATAAGTATGTGGTGTTGTTAGGAATCCATACAAATTTGTAAAAAGAATACATGCTGGATTTTTCTTATTTTTTTAGACAGCTTTATTGAGATGTTGTTCACATGCCATCATCTCATCCATCTATATTGTATGATTCAAGTTTTGATACAGTCACAGGGTTTTCCATCCATCACCACAATCTAATTTTGGAATATTTTGTTCCTCCTAGAAAAAACCTTGGATCATTATCAGTCAGTCCTGATTCTGCCCCACCCTACCACCAGCCCTGAGCAACCATTAATCTCCTCTCTGTCTCTGTATATTTACTTTCTGCACATGTCATATAAATGGAATCATATAACACGTGGTCCCTTAGGATGGGCTTCTCTTGTGTTATAGCATGAACCAGTGCTTTATTTTCATTGCCGAATAACTGGCTACACCACATTTGTTGATCCATTCATCAGTTGATGGACATTTGGATTGTCTCCCCTTTTAAGCTATTGTGAATAATGCTGCTGTGAACATTTGTGTACAGGTCTTTGTGGACATATGCTTTCATTTCTCTGGGATATCTATCTACAAGTGGGATTGCTAGGTTATATGATGACTGTTTAGCCTTTTGATGAACTGCTAGACTGATTTTCAAAGCTGCCGCACCATTCTGTTCCCAACAGCAATATATGAGGGTTCAGATCGTTCCACATTTTCACCAATATTTGTTTGTCTTTTTTATTATAGTCATACTAGTGGGTGTGAAGTGGTATTTCACAGTGATTTTTACTTGTAATTCCCTAATGACTAATGTTGTTCTTTTCATTTGTTTATTTGCTATTTGCATATCTTCCTTGGAGAAATGTGTATCTAAATCCTTTGCCCATTTAAAAAATAACATGTTTACTAAGGTAGAATCTACATATAATATAGTTAGTCCACTTAAAGTGTACAGTTCAGCAGTTTTTCATATATTCACAGTTACAAGTATTGCCATGATCAAGAATATTTTCATCACCTCACAAAGAAACCCTGTACCTACTGGCAGTCACTCCTTTGCCCATTTTTAATGGCTTATGTTTTTGATATTGAGTGGTAAAACTTTATCAGCTAGATAATGGGCAAATATTTTTTTTCCCATTTCTGTGGGTTGTCTTTGTGAGGTGATGAAAATATTCTTGATCATGGCAATACTTGTAA